CATTGCTGATCCTCCCTAAAGAAGAACATAAACTTGGAGTGGCTTTGCCAGGAATGGGGGGGGAGTCCCATTTCATGGAGCTACACCCACGATCTTGCCCAGGCTCCCCACCCCTCAGTGCTTATCAATATGGTCATAAGTGGAGCAAAGCCAGTTCAGCTGCTCAAGCCAACTGCTCAATGCCTGGCTCAAGGCTGGGGCCTTGGCCTCCTTAACAGCATGTGCTACCCAACTGGTGACAGAGACCATCCCCCTGCTCGGGACTGCAGTATGAGGCCGGGCCTTAGAAACCTGGTCTCCCCGAGGCGCTGTCCAGCTGCGGAGGTGCTGACTCAAGAGCAGGCTCTCTCTCTCTCTGAAAGGTCTTGGAGAGAGTACTCAGCGACATCCCTGACCTTGCAGACACCCAGAGGCTGCTCCTCCCCACCTCTCCTGACCCCTCTCTTTCCCTCCACCTGTATCCCCACATCCCAGCTCCTCTCTTCCATGTCTCTTCCCTCAGCTCATCCCCTGTCACGGTCCTGATCAACTGCCCAGGAAAAAAAAAATTTGTTCATCCACAGAGTTGAATCCTCAAATCACCCAGATAATCAATATTCGACTACTGTGCTGCAGAGCAGGAGATCGATCTGCTGCCAGCCAGCGCTAGGCAACCAGAAACTTTTACTCCGTCCTCAAGAAGGTGCCCGTAAATAGCAGGGCTGGTTCCTAAGGACTGGTGGCTTGTGAAGAGGATGCATGGGGTGGACAGGGTCTTGCTGCTTTGGGGACTTTAGTGATGTTTGAGAGTTAAGCAAGTTAACCATTTGCTTTAAAAAGTGCTTTTTATTGTAGAAATTTCAAATAGTTGCACAGAAAGATACATAATGAAGATCCACATACTCATCACGTAGCTTTAATATAAAATTATCGGCTGGGGGTGGTGGCTCACGCCTGTGATCCTAGCACTCTGGGAGGCCGAGGTAGGCGGATTGCTCGAGGTCAGGAGTTCGAAACTAGCCTGGAGCAAGAGCGAGACGCCGTCTCTTACTATAAAAGAAAGAAATTAATTGGCAACTATATAATATAAAAAATTGCCAGGCATGGTGGCGCATGCCTGTAGTCCCAGCTACTCGGGAAGGCTGAGGCAGGAGATCGGCTTGAGCCCAGGAGTCTGAGGTTGCTGGTGAGCTAGGCTGACGCCACGGGCACTCACTCTAGCCTGGGCAACAAATCGAGACTCTGTCTCAAAAAATAAAATAAAATAAAATTATCAACCCTTGGTGAATTCAGTCTCATCCCAACCCCCACCCCCTGCCCCCCATCAGATTATATATTTAAGCGAATCCTCAACACCATCCACAGGTAGACGCAGCTCTGAAAAAAAGAAGGAGGCTTGAGAAACAAAAGACACGACACTATCATCACACTTTCACGAAATCTGTCTTAATTTTTCTGTAACATCCAATATCCAGTCAGTGTTCAATGTTTTTCTAAGTGCCTTGAATTTTTTTACAGTTTTATTTTAATCAGGATCCAAACAAGTTTCAAACACTATAATTGGTTGGTATGTTTCTTAAGTCTCATTACTCTGCAGTTTTCCTCGGCAGTTGTTCTGAAAAAGGAGGATAATCTGTTCTGCAGAGAGTCCCGCAGCCTGGAGCTCACACCCGTGGTGTGGTTTCCACGTTCCTCCCGCCCGAGCTCACCCGCGTATTTGGAGCTGGAGCAGAGCCGGGTTTAAGTAGTTTAGACGTATTTGGTGACAACCTTACCTCAGTACCGTTTCACACTCGCCGTGCATGCCCCAATTCTCTCTCTTTTTCGCAAGGTGGGCAGCTGGTGATGATTGTTTATTAGGAGTTGGCAGCCTGTAGAGTCAAAGGACACATGCATGCATGTATTCCACGTGGGATTTGTGTCCGGAATGCATCAGGAACCCTTACGAATCATTAAGGGAAAAGGTGAACACCCCACCAGGGGTGACGAACCACTTCTTTTGAATAAAAAGTTTCTAATCCCTTTCTCCTAGAACTGAATCGGAACATGAAAATCAATTAACAAGGCCGGGCGCGGCGGCTCACGCCTGTGATCCTAGCACTCTGGGAGGGCGCGAGGGCGGCGGATCCTCAAGGTCAGGGGTTCAAACCCAGCCTGAGCAAGGAGTGAGACCCTGTCTCTACCTAAAATAGAAGAAATTAATTGGCCACTAAAAATAGATAGAAAAAATTAGCCGGGCATGGTGGCGCATGCCTGTAGTCCCAGCTACTCGGGAGGCCGAGGCAGCAGGATCGCTTGAGCCCAGGAGATTGAGGTTGCTGTGAGCTAGGCTGACGCCACGGCACTCACTCTAGCCTGGGCAACAGAGTGAGACTCTGTCTCAAAAAAAGAAAAAAAGAAAAAGAAAAGACAATCAATTAACAGAGGAGGCTTAGCCGACGTTTGGAAAGCGAGTGAATGGGGAGGAACGAAGTGACACGTCAGTGGCCCCTCAACCGAGGAAGTGAACGTTCCCGTGTTTACTGGGGAAGTACTCCACTACTCTGGAGAGGCCAGTAGACGGGTCTTCCAAGCCTGTCTAACCGAGGTTCTTCGGAGTCGGTAAGCACTTCATCAATGATGAAAAAAATCAAAGTCAACAATTAATCTTAGAGTCTCCTTGTTGCAGCCAGCGATAAGGGAAGCCACACAGTCCTGGAACTGAGCACGTCCCCAGAGACCACTCCGAGACAAAATGCACAAACGCTAGTAAATTACTTCGAAGCTTTTCTCTTTTTTAATTAACTGAAGTAATTTTGTAATAATCCCCACAGCTTGTGTCTTAAAATGGAAATCCGTTAAGGGCCGAATCCATCTTCAATAGTGTTTCCGTGGTTCTGGGGCTTAAACCAGGAGCGCTCAGCACCCCGGGGCGGTGGTGACTCCCGGGCTTCCATAAAACACGCAGAACTTTCCGACTTCCCCCCAACCTCAGCAGACGGTAGCAAGTGTCAGAAGCATTTAATTAGCCCCTGCATTAGCTCATGATTTAATAAGCCGCGTCTAGCCTTGCACCCGTCTAGCTCTTGGTGATGTGTGGCTGTGCAGAGACGTGCACTTCTGAGGACTATAAAAAGCTTTTGGAGAACGATGGGTTTGAGCGTTTCAAGTTCCCAGCCTGCCGTAAAAGGCAAAGGCCGGGCTCCCCCGCTCCTCTTGGCCGAGTGCGCACACAGCAGATCGAGCTTCTGCAGGCAATTAATTCCACGGTCCTCCAGTCCACAGGGGAGCATGGCTGCGCACACAGCTTCGCGGCACCAGAGAGCCAGGAGGCCCTGGCCCTATATATAAACTCGTATTTAGACGCCTTGGAAATGCCTTTCAAAGCCAATTTGCTCACATTATCATATTTGAGCCTCAGAAAACCCTAAGTAGAACAGATAACTATCATGCATCCCATTTGACAGTTTAGAAAGCCACTGTCCAAAGTCTGGGGTCAACAGTGAGTGAAAAAGCCACACAGAGTCCATCGCCTCCGTTCTGAGCCTCTGGCCGGGGCTGCAGCTGGCGTGGCCCTGGGGGGCCGGGGGGGGGGGGGGGTCGGAGTTCGGTCCTGAAGGCAGCACTGTGAAGACGGTTCAGTGGGGCCTGGCGCTGACGCCATTGATTCCGGGAGAGCAAATCCGGTAGCTCACGAGGAGGACCATGCTGGATACAGGCGTCCAAATGGTCAGGAAGTAACACCCAGCCCCCGCTGCCCTGCTGCAGGCCGCGGTCCTCTGTGGACCTGGAGACTGACCGGATTTACAACCCCTTCGTACACCTGGACACAGTCGGCCAGCGACCTCCAACAGCCAGCAAGGTCTCTGCAGGAGGACAAACCCCCTTTCCCTAATCTCCCTCCGGGGAAAAGGTGTCTTCCACTCCGAGTGACCGCGCCATCATCGTGGTCTGTTCACGGGCAGTGAGACGTTCTGTGCTCAGTCTTCATGTCCCCAGATTCCAATTCCAGGCTGACCCCTCAACCTCGGGGGGGGGGGGGGGGCAGACTCCCGTCCAGGAACTGCACCCTGCAGCCCGCCCCGCCCCCTGCTTTGCGACTTTCCCGCTGGCCGGGAAGGCTGCGCTCTGCCAGCCGCGCCTGCGAGGGCTCTGCTGCGGCAGGGCGACGCTGGAGGCGATGGCTGGGAGGGAACCGCAGCAGCAGCAGCTGCGCTGGAGGCAGAAGCAGCAGCCAGGAGGCGACATCAGCTCCCCTTGGCTCCTCCAGGTGAGGTGAGTTTCCCATCCTACAGCTCCGTGGGTCGTGGGTCGCAAGCTGCCCACCCTCAGCCCCGACAGCTCGTTTCCGGGGCCCTCAGCGAAGGGCAGTGCAGGCCGTGGAGAAGGTGTCCTCCGCCCGCCTGCGCGGTGGAGCCACCTGGGCAGCTTCTGCCCCAGAGCGAGTAAATCCAGCTTGGGGGGGGTGGGGGTTCTGACCTCAGTGTTTCGTGACGGCCCCCCAGGGGAACGTGAATGCCCAGCCAGAGCAGAAAATCGTCCCCTCGGGGCGCCTAAGTGCAGGGGTCTCTCGACCCCGACCACACGCCAGGAGTCTCTGGGAGCTTAAACAACACTGACGCCAGGACCCTGCTCCAGATTAATAACGACCCTCTGTCGTCTGTACCCAGATACACTCTTACACTCAAACCTTAATGCACTTCTACTTTAATACAGTTTCTAAACAAATTTAATATAATTTTACACGTGCAAACCCCCACAGCCCATATATAAATATGGAGTTAAAATACCGGGTCAGATCAGTCCAATATCACCTCTCTAAGGGGCTGCGACCCAGCTGCAGGCTCAGTCTGTGGTCCCCAGTAAGACTCGTAGGTAATTTGGGCACAGTGTCATGCACCTGCAGTCCCAGCTGCTCAGAAGGCTGAGGCGGGAGGATCCCTGAGCCCAGGAGTTCAAGTCCAGCCTGGGCAGCACAACAGGGACCCCATTTCTAAGAAAATTAAATACATAACCAAAAAGGCTTCTAAATAAAACTGACTTTAATTCTTTCGAAACTTTTTTTTCTGTAGTTGACCCCTTCAAGAGTAACAGTAACCCCAAACTCTATGTGGTCTTCAGACACCACAGACACCCTTTTGTGCAGGTTCTCCTTTGAGCATCACAGCGCCATGGAAAGTGTCTGTCGATCCCCGTGAAATGGGGCTGAGTGGCTCTCGCGTGGTTGCCGGGTTTGGGGGAGGCCAGGGGATTCCAGTCCCGGCCTCTGGCTCCCAGCTCAGGGCCTCTCCACCTTAGCTGCCTCGTGACGCAGCCCTGAGGCAGGTGTGGGAGGGAAGCGGGCTGCACGCGGGCAGGGGTGGGATTTTCTTTTGCAGTTAGAGAACATCAGGGATTGGGGGAATCTGTGGCCACTGTGAGTGTGAGGCTCCCCCAGGCTGGACGTCCCCGGCCAGTGCCCAAGGCAGGAGCCCCCCCAGATGTTCCTGTGGGGGTCATGTACCACGAAATGGGTGCTTAGCGCTTGGGCGGGGTAGCTGGGAAGGCAGGGAGTCACCTGTTAGGCAAGGACAGCCAGGACGAGCCCCAGGCAGGTGCAGGAGGCTGAGAACCTGCAGTGTGTCCTCCTCTCGGGGCTCTTGGAACCCCACAACTCAGATCCTGCCTGGCTGTGGCTTTGGGTGACTTTGTCCCTCTGGATGGTGGAGGGAGCCGGGATGAGCCCTCGGCAGAGCAGGACCCTGTGTGCCGGAGGATGGCAGAGTCACCAGAAAGTCACCTCCCACTCACTCCTATGGAAGCTGTTGGAGGGTGCTCCAGCCACCATGGCAGCGCATGCACCAGGCGAGAATCTTAGCCCTTATGTAGCCGCCCCTCCCCCCAGGGATGGGTTACGCCTCCTTCCAGGGACACTCAGGGCTTCATTTAATGTTTATTTTCAGTGTCAATTTTATTCTTCCCACTGCAGAAGGAACGAGCTGTCTCCGAGGTGCTGGGGTGGGAGGGGCGTGGGGAGAAGGGGTCCATCTGCTGGTCGTCCCTCCCGTGCTCTGATGGCTCCTGCGCTCACAGCAAATGCCCGGACTCCTCAGTGTGACCTGTGAGTCCTCCCTGCTGGCAGCTCCTCCCCACACCCCGTCACCCCTGCCAGCCACCCTATGGCACTTCTGTGTCGGAAGTTCCTCGGGCTCAGGGACCCCCTGTGTCTTCTGCCTTCCTGGGCCCCACACCTGACACAGGTCCCGGCCGCTGCACCTGGTGGTGTCCGTTGCACAAATGCCTTCACCATCTCCTTGCTCCTCCCCTGCCTGAAATACATGTCTCCCAATCCTCCATCTGGAAATCTGACTCAGTTTCCTTGTCCATAAACCAGTGACACAAACAGCGCCTGGCTCGCTGGTTGTGCGCGGACCAGAGGTGCAATACTGGGGAAGCATCTAGAACAGAGGTGGCAGAGGCGGGCCCCAGGGAATCACCCCACATCCCCCAGCCACCACCACCACCAGCACAGTTGGCATTGTATCGATGGCAGGGACGGAGCTTGGAGTCAGGGAGGCCTGTGTTCAAATCCCAACTCTGCTGTCACTTGTCATGTGGACTTGGCCACAGGACTGAGCACGGGGCCTGCTCAGTGGCCAGCCTGACAGGGGACAATCTCGGAGCAAGCCTGGTGTCAAGGCACCTGGGCTTCCTCCTGAGTGCCAAAGGGGAACTGGGTAACGGTGGCTCAGGGCCATCAGCAGGGCAGGTCCAGGCCACCCTCCCAGGGGCTGTGAGGCCTCTCACTGGACAGCCAGGGCACCTTCGCACCCACAGCAGCTGTCTGGAGTGGACGTCTCCGGAGGCCGGGCTGTCCTGCTCACCCGGGCTGGGCTCTGCCCACCATTCTTCCCTTTCCACCTGCGATGGGCATGGATCACCTGTCTGCACCTTCTCCTGCCCCGGGACAGAGGGCACCTAAGGAACCCCAGGCAGAGGTCTGGGACTGGGGAAGCCCCAGGTAATGCTGGGACACTCAGGAGGCCAAGTGAGCAAGGCCCCAGATGCCAGGCCCCAGTCTAGCTGCGTCTCACCCCTGCTTAGCTCTGTAGCATCCAGGCAGAGTGGTGTGAAGTCACTCTGGGGAGAAAGTCTTGCTATTGACGCCCCCCCCCCAGCATGCACAGAGACCAGACCACAAATATTCCTGCATTTCCCCATCTGTCACCTGCCGTCCCCTTGCATCTGCGTCATACTGGGAGGCCCTCCTGTCTGGCCTCCGTCTCTCTCTCTCTCTCTCTCTCTCTCTCTCTCTCTCTCTCTCTGCCTTCCCTTCCTCCACTCTCCCCGTCCCAGGCTCCCGGCTCCCTCCTGCAGTTAGATCCTGCAGGCTGCTAGTTCCTGCAGGGCATTCTGGGGACTCAACTCTGTCAAATAGACAGTCATCCGCCCCTGGACAGAGACTTGTGCAAAGGAAGCGGCCCCCTGCTCTATCTGTTCAGGGGGCCCCTCCCAGGATGGGGCGGGCAGAAAGAGAGAAGAAAGGGCAAAATTTGTGAGAAAAAAGGCCTATTAAAAAAAAAAGTGTATGAACTGCCGGGATAGACGATAGCATGTTCAAGGGTGGGCAGATTCTGGGAGATGGGGGAGGGGGCGTGGGGCGGGCGTGCGTGTGCCCGCGTGTGCACAGACAAAGCCCGAGAGCAGGGTGGGCCTAGGTATGCTCAGGGGCTGCAGAGCAGAGTGGACTCAGTCAGCAAGTTCACAGGGACGCAGGCTGGTGACAGCACTGCCAGATGCGGAGGAGACCAGTCTCCAAATCCGAGGATGGCACAGTGCTTCCCCGGGCGGGGTGGTGGCCCCACAGCACCCAAGCTGAAAATAAAAACTCCCAGCCCTTTCCGAGGCCCTGAGCAGAGCCAGGTGGAGGCCATGGGCGTGCAGGCCAGCAGAAGGCGTGGGGCTCCAGGCAGCTGGTCACCTGGGTAATGTCACCCTCCGTCTCTGCCACCTCCCAGGTGGCCACTGGGATTGCCCTCGGCTGTGCCAGCACATTCAGCCTGGCCAAGCCCAGGTCCACCCCTCCTCCCAGGGCCCTGCTTCCCTGCCTTTGCTGAGCCACCAGAAAAGCACAACCAGCCCCTTAGGAGCAGCGGACCTGAGGGCCACTTCCTGTCAACCTGCAAATCACTGGTTTTCTGCTTCAGTCACGCTCAGTGAGGTGACTACAGCTAACCAGGAAGCTGGAGGCTTGGCTGGTACCACCCTCGAAATGGCCTTATTGATCCTAGAGTGTCTTGTCACGTTATCTCTAACTGGGAGAGGGGTACGTGTGTGCACGTGTGCGTGTGTCTGTGTGCTCACACCTATGTGTGTCTATGTGCATTTGTGTGTGCATCTGTGTGCACCTGGGTATGAACATGCACGTGTACAGGTGTGCATGTCTATGTGTGCATGCTTGTGCATGTGTGCACACGTCTCTGTGTGTGTTTGCATGTGCCTCTGCAGGCATGTGTGTGCACGTGTACAAGCGTGTGCAAGTGTTCACAAGCTCCGGGCGGAGAGTCTCGGCAGGGATGAGATCAAGTCTCTCCTCAGAGAGCCCAGGATAGAAACATGCCTCCCACATCGAGGCCGTCTGTGGACGGGCAGAACACACAGCGCGTGTGGCACGACACACAGGGTCACACGCATTCACACACTCACATCACACGCACCATGGGGCAGGAGGCACGCAGCCACAGCCCCAGGCCCCATTCCAGCAGACACCCGCCCTGCCTTCCCCAAGAGCCCCTGCAGCGCTGCCCTGCTCGCTGGCGGCCCCCCGGGAGCCCCCAGGCCGTGCAGCGGGGGAGCTGGGGGCCCACGTCTCCTCCCCTGGCCCCAGCAGCTACCGCTCCTGCAGGGACAGCAAGTGGCCTCTGCAGAAGGGGCCAGTCCTCCCCACCGCCCTCCAGGACTTGTCCTGGCCCCAGCAGAGAGCAACTGCTCCAGACCAGCTAGCTCCTCGTCCCCTCCCAGCCCTGTGATCCCTGCCTCTCTCCAGAGCGTCATTGTCCTGCTTTTCCATAAGGAGCAGCACAGGGACGCTCCCAGCGGTGCCCTGCGCGCCCCCTTGTGGCCAAGCTCCGAGGACACGGCGGCTGGGACACCTGGGGTCCAGGTGCCTTCCCCACACCTGAAAGGAGGTTGGGGACAGAAGCCCATATCCTCCTGTCCCGGCTGATCTTCCTCCTCCTTCCAGAGTCCTCGGTGCTGAGGGAAAAAGCCTGAACTTGGATGCTCTCCACCCAGCAGAGGCCCTCGGATACCTGGAAACAGGATACCTCCCCCAGGACCAGTGCCGTCCTCAGGGGACACCTTCCACTCCGCCGTAACTGTCATAGCAGCCATCCTCTGGGAGCACTTTGAAGCGCTCTTTGCAGAATGTTTAGAATGGATGGGGGTTGGGGGGGTGTCTCACCACGTCCAGGGCAGTCGCCAGGAACGGGAAGGGCTACCCCACCACCCACGGGGCCAGCCCCTGCCCTTCCAGGCCCGGCTGGACCCTCTCTCCCTCTCAGAGGCAGCATGTGCCAATTTTGAGGAAGGACAGAAAGAAAGAGGTTTTTTTCCCCTAAAACATTTCTGATTATGGCCGGGCGCGGTGGCTCACGCCTGTAATCCTAGCACTCTGGGAGGCCAAGGCGGGCGGACTGCTTGAGCTCAGGAGTTCAAAACCAGCCTGAGCAAGAGCGAGACCCCGTCTCTACTATAAACAGAAGGAAATTAATTGGCCAACTACTGTATATAGAAAACAAATGTGCCAGGCATGGTGGCACATGCCTGTAGTCCCAGCTACTCGGGAGGCTGAGGCAGGAGGATTGCTTGAGCCCAGGAGTTTGAGGTGGCTGTGAGCTAGGCTGACGCCACGGCACTCACTCTAGCCTGGGCAACAAAGTAAAACTCTGTCTCAAAAAAAAAATTCTGATTATAAGCAGAAATCATTGTAAGGAGAGCAAATGCCAACATGGCACTCCCCCTGCAGCAAGCCCTGCTCCCGGTCTATTAGACACATTAACTCATTTAATCCTCCTGACATTTTCAATGTAGAAAATTGGTAAAATACGAAATTACAAAGACGGAAAATAAAGCCCACAGTCCCATCATGCATCTCCTCTCAGTTGCTCATTTGTGCATGTGGATTGTGAACAAAACAGGACCAGACCACATATTACACTTCTGCCTTTCCGGCTTAATATAATCTCACGATGCAGGGTCATTAGTCTTGGAAAATACTCTTAATGGCTGCATTGTATTCCACCTGCTAGAGGTACTATCATCTATTCGACCATTCTCAGGGGAATTTTCTGCTTTTCCTACAGAAAGCCTGTGTGCTGGGACCTCACGGGGCTCCTGTGACCCTGGCCCTGTAGCCTGCTTGTGTACCGACAGGGTGTAAGAGCAGTGGTGGTTTCCCAAACCCCCCACCTGTGGGGGTCTCAGGCATGTGTGTGTGCATGTGTGTGCATGCACATGTGTGAACATGCGTGTGTGCCCCCATGTTTAGACTTGCCCTGTAAGAACTCATAGCTCCCTAAGAATCTGTGCAAGAGAATCGAAAACAACTGAAACAAACACACGCACTATGCGCAGTAGCCGAGGGCAGAAACAGCCCAGATGTCCATGAACAGAAGAAAGGATAAAAAAAATGGGGTACGAGCACGAGACGGGAGATTATTCAGCTATAAAAAGGAGTGAGGTGCTGACTGACACATGCTGCAGCAGGGATGAACCTCGGAAGCATCATGGCGAGTGAAAGAAACCAGGCACAAAGGCCATGTGCCGCAGGAGTCCAGCTGTGCATGTGACGCATCCAGGGTGGGCAGGTCCACAGGGATCCGCGGCCACTGGGGGCGGCGGGGAGGGGGCGCGACTGCGTAGTGTGCAGCGGGTGGGCTTTGGGGGTCAGGAAGATGCTTTGGCACCGGAGAGAGGTGATGGTCGCATGACATTGTGAATGTACCAAACACCACTTCCTCGCTCGCTGTAGGGTGGTTAATTTTATGTTATGTGAGTTGTACTCCAATTAAAAAAAACAAGAGAGAGATACCAATGGCTCCTGTCAAGCCAGGCTTTCACACAAATTATCCCTCTGTGGTCAAATCACTTCCTCCGGTCTCGCTGCCCAGCGCCCAGAGCCTGCACCAGAGGCGCTGGCTTTGCACGACGCAGCCCCGAGTCTCACTGCGGCCCCTCCTGTCATCCTCCTCCTGCTCCTCCCCACACTCGGGCCCGGGACTGTGTCTGTCACAGAAAGGACTTCCGTCCCCATGTGGGGTCCGCATGGCCTTTGCTGAAGATGTTGGACTTCATCTTTCAGGCCGTGTCCACAGGAAACGAAAGGCCCACGCGGCCCGAGGCAGGGTCTGGACAGCGGCCAAGCTCTCCAGCGTCCACCCTGCTCACACGGTGCCGGAAAAACGGGGCTCGGTCGCTCCTCGGTGAGGCTAATCCAATATCAGAGGATTTGTTTGTCTCCTTAAGCCACAACCAGCAACGGAAATCCCTTTTAATTCTCCCCGAAGACGGTAAAGGAGTCTCCTCTCATGAAATCGGTCAGGAACCTCACTCATCCGCCCCACTCCATGGGCGCTCATGGGAGCTTGGAGAGCCCCCCCCACCCGCCACTCCTCTCCCCTGCAGTCTCCTCATTACTCAGGGGCACCCCTACCCCGGGGACACTCACCCCTGCAACCTTCAGGTGTGTCGCAGCCCGGGGCTCGCTGGCTGCAGATATGGCTGTCCCGTCGTCCCTGCGTCTCATCGTTCTGACCTGGAGGGGACTGGGACACAGGAAAGAGGTTTGCATTCCCCCTGCCCCCACGCCCTGCATCTGCACCCCCACATGTTCCTGCAGCACAAAGTGGGCCGGGCTGAGCCTCGAGTGTGGCACCAGATGGGCACCTGTCACACTGTTTGGGCCACTGCTTCTTGGTAGACCCATTTAGGTGCCTTTGGCCGCAATGGTGGAGACTCTGAATCCACACGGCTTTGTCAATACCCACCGAGCAGGGCTGTGCAGGAAGGGCAGGGAGGGCTGCGTCCGCTGACCTGCAGTGTCTCCCTGCCCCCTAACCCCAGGGCTGGCCATGGCCCCCGGCTGGCTCCTCTCAGGGTCTCCAGGTGGTGGAGGCTGTGCCAGGCATCGAACCCTGACCCAGCAACATCCGAAGGAAGGAAAGAGTAGTGAAGACCGCTCCCAGGAGTGCTCCAGCAGACTCCCCTCAGCCCGCATTGGTCAGGAGGGAGCCACAGGTCCATTCCTGACCGGCCACCGGCTGTGGAGATAGGGTCCCCGGATCAGTGTACACCGGTGGTTCTCAAAGTAAGGTACCTAGACCAGCAGCATCAGTATCAGCTGAGAACCTGCTAGAAATACAAATTCTTTGACCCCACTCCAGAACCAGTGAATCAGAAACTCTGAGGATGGGCCTTAGCAAACTGCATTTTCTAAACTATGTTGTGTTTTCTTAGCTAGAATAATTACTACGGTTTAACCACTGTTCAACAGAACAAGAGCTCATGTAAATTCCTAAGATGACGCAAAATGAAGATTTCCTAAATAGAAATGCCCAATTTTACAATTGGAAATTTTACAAAAGGAAAGGCACGTGATTTTATATAAAAACCAGTTTATCTAAGTGAGGCCTGAAATGCTATTGGCTTTTTTTGTTAAAACTACATGTTAATAGGTGTTCCAGGTGATTGTGTTGCATGGTAAAGTTTGAGAACAGTTGGTTTAAACTAATCATTTGGGATGATGCATCGTTATCTACTGCTGTGAGATAAACCAGCCCAGACTTAGTGGTTTAAAGTAGCAATGACTTTACTTGCTCCTGACTGTAAGTGAACAATCTGGGCTGGGCTCTGCTGGGCAGTTCTAGCCTCACCTAGAGTGGGATTGCCAGGTTTAGCAGATAAAAATACAGGGTATCCAGCTGAATTTTAACTTCAAATAAACAAGAAATAAGTTTGTAATATAAATACACCCTAGACAATAATTGATACTAAAAAATTATTTGTTGATCATCTGAAATCCAATTTTAACTGGGCACCCTGGATTTTATCGGGCAGCCTCGCTGACTCACGCAGCTGTGGTCACCAGGGGGCCCCACAGGTGCTGGACAGCCCAAGGAGGCTGTTGACTGTCAGGGGACATCTTCCTCCTCATTGTCTCTCATCCTCAAGATTTGCCTGGGCGTCTTCACATGGTGACAGGAGCACCCCAGAAGGCGAGAGTGGCAGCTGCAAGGGCCCTGGAGGTCTGGGCTCAGAAGTCACATGACCTCTGTAGAGTGAAGAACCAACCTGACCCAAAGAGAGGTCTGGCCTTTGCCCTCCGCTACCGGGAGATGACCTGATCTCTAGGCCTTCGCAGTGTCCTGCTTGACAAGAGCCTTAGTCACTGGACAGTCTAGCAATGTGGTTTATGATGGGGGCTTTGGGACACTCCCCGTCAGTCTTGACCTCCAGAGGGACTGGTGACACAGGCAGTATGTGACAGAGCCTAGGGAGGAACTCTGGGCACCGAAGGCTTGGAAGAAGTTCCCCGGTTGGCCACACTCTTGAGTGTCATCACGAGTCATGGGCCAGGTGAGGGCGTCCAGGACTCCATGAGGAGAGGAGATGACCAGAGGCTGCACGTCCGGATCCCCCCAGACTTCACCCCATTCGACTCACCCCGTGGCTGGTTCTAATTTGTGTCCTTTCACCATAATGACTGCAGTCGCAAGTATAGCACCGTCCTGAGTTCTGTGAGTCCTCCTAGAGAATTATCAAACCTGAGGGTGGTCATGGGAGTTCCCTAATCTGTAGCCAGCTGGTCTGAAGGGAGGGCTGTCTCGTGGGGACTGTGCCCTCAACCTGTGCAGTTTGCCTGAACTCCCTTCTGCGTCACTTCTGCCACAACCTATTGGCCAAAGCAAGTGGCAAGGCCAGACCATGTCCAGAGGGGCAGAGTAGATTCTGTCTCTCGGCAGAAGGATTTGCAAGGCCATGTGGCAATGGGATGTATGTGCAGGGTGGAGGGACGCAGGGCCACGTTTTGCAATGGATGTGGGGAATCGGCCACCAAGACTGTTCTATGTGGTGGCTTGTTTATTTTCCCCACCTGGCTTTCACCGCATACTCTTCAAGGGCTGGGACAACATTCTTCACTCTGTTTCTCCAATGCTGGGGTCATCTCAAGGACTTGGCACATAGGAGGGATCTTGCCAGTGTTCAATGAATGAACAAAACCTAGTCAGTGTTAGATGGATGGATGAATGAATGAATGAATGAATGAATGAATGAATTGGCTGATGTAGGAATCACGTCTCAAGCTGGGCTATTAGAGTCACCTGGGGTGCTTTTGAACGGTCCTGTGCCAGCTGCACCTGAAGCACTTAATTCTGAATCGAGGGCGGGGGCGGGGCCAGGCTCAGCATTTCTAAAAGCCTCCCAGCTGATCTTGGCGTTCAGCCAGGGTTGAGGACCACTGACAAATAGAACTGGACATCTAGGAGCTGAAAATCTCAGACTGGCCTTGAGACACTGAATTTCGTGCAGAGGACGCAGAAATCAGGTCAAAACCATCAGGAAAGATGTGAAAATCGACTGAAACTGTCAATCGGGGCATAAAGACACAAGATACTGAGATCACACACAAAGAACCAGTGGGGACAGAGCTGATGAAGGGCTGGTGCCTGTCCCCTGGGCCAGCACTTACTAAGGGCCTATTCTGTTCATGACACTCGCAGGGGCTGTGTTGTCTTAGCGATGGGCATCACACAGAAAAATCGTCTTCTTCCAACTTGACTTCTCCATGGCCCACGACTGCCCCGGGCCCTTGGCTCGGAGCTGCGCTGGCTTTTGTCTCCCTCAGACTCAGTCTCAATAGTGAGGTTCTGGAGCTCACACCAGTTCACACCTGCTCACACCAGCTCACACCAGCTCACACCAGCTCACAAGACTGTTTACAGTTCAGGACTTTGATAACCCGATTGTTACATAGGACCATTAATTAAAAATAAATTACGATGGCCGGGCATGGTGGCTCACTCCTGTAATCCTAGCACTCTGGGAGGCCGAGGCAGGAGGACTGCTTGAGCTCAGGGGTTCAAGACCATCCTGAGCAAGAGTGAGACCCCATCTCTACTAAGAATAGAAAGAAATTAGCCAAACAACTAAAAAAACAGAACAAATTAGCTGGGCGCAGTGGCACATACCTGTAGTCCCAGCTACTCAGGAGGCTGAGGCAGGAGGATCAATTGAGCCCAGGAGTTTGACGTTGCTGTGAGCTAGGCTCTAGTCCAGGCAACAGAGTAAGACTCTGTCTCAAAAAAATAAAAAAATGGGCTGGGTGTGGTGGCTCACGGCTGTAATTCTAGCTCTCTGGGAGGCTGAGGCGGGCGGATTGCTCGAGGTCAGGAGTTTGAAACCAGCCTGAGCAAGAGCGAGACCCTGTCTCTACTATAAATAGAAAGAAACTAATTGGCCAACTAATATATATATATAAAAATTAGCCGGGCATGGTGGCGCATGCCTGTAGTCCCAGCTACTTGGGAGGCTGAGGCAGGATTGCTTGAGCCAGGAGATTGAGGTTGCTGTGAGCTAGGCTGACACCATGGCACTCACTCTAGCCTGGGCAACAAAGTGAGACTGTCTCAAAATAAATAAATAAATAAATAAACAAAAAAATAAATAAATAAATAAATAAAAATAAATAAAAAAATATTAACTTACAGTTGCATACATAAATTAAAAGATAATAAATACACAAAATGTATCACTTCCTAATTATTTTACTATATTTTGTTGCTACCTATGCCCTGAGGCCATTGACTGGATTGTGTCTGTAGGGTGGGGAGATGAGATGATGGTGTGAGAACTCTGTGATCAGCGATGTCACCAAGGCAACTTGAAACCAGTCGTGGGCAGGGTGTTCACCACGAGAGCAGTAAATGCTAGAAATCATGCCCCCTCCTCCCGAGAACCAGTTGTTCAAATTTACCAATACACCCTTGGGTCTCAAGGTTAAAAAAAACAATAATGTCAAATGCCAGTGCTGGGTTCACCGGGAACAGAGACTCCACGTTGAAACCAAGCCTTCTCAGCAGAGACCTCACGTGTGACTGCACCTGATACAGCACCCTCGCCAGTCCCCTGCACCCTCCCACGGCTGCCCAGCTCCTCCCAAAGGCTCCCTCTGCTCGGGAACTCTTCCCGACTTGGCCTCCCGCCCTCAGCCCCTCTGCTTGTCTCAGTGCGCCCTGCACTTCGAGTCCCCACCTCGAGCCCTTAGGATGGGTGATAGCTCAAGCAATCCTGCCTCAGCCTCCCAAGTAGCTGGGACTACAGGCATGCGCCACCATGCCCGGCTAATTTTTAATATATATATGTTGGCCAATTAATTTCT